GGTCGCCTATAATATAATTAATTATGGTATATTTAAGAGTTGTCAATTTTAAACATACAAATATAGCATAATAGGATAAAAATCAATTAAAGTGAAAACATGAAATTATTATTAATCATAAAAATCACATAAACTTATGAAAATGAGTCACCACAGTTCTAGTTATGGATTTACCTAGACATAATATAATGGAAAACCAAAACAATAATAAAATAATTCATAGTTATTCAGAAAGTAAATGCAAATTAAAGGAGTCTCCAACAGAGAAGAGATGAAAAGAGCTATTCATTCCAAGACACAATTCCAAAGCTCCAATAGTTGTTAGTGGCTAGTCAAAACGAAGATGGAGGTGTAAAAAAAAAGTGAAAAAATGCCCAAGTCGTCGCTCATAAGGTTCCTTTAATAGGGTTTCAAAATCTTAATATTTTTTTAAACTTGGACTTCTTGCATGTAAGCCATGCATATGGTCAAAGAATTCTAATGCTAAATGCTAGGGTGTGGACGTATTGGCTGTGACAAACCCTATTTTTCATCCAATTTAAGCCCAAAATGTATCCAAAATACAATTATGCTTATCTAATGCTAAATTGCATAATTAATATATAAATTAGTGTAAAATCCTAATCAAACAAGGATCAAGCATGTAAATATAGATTTAAAAATATATCAAAATACAGACTTATCAATGACAATTGGGGGTAATAGCTAGAGAAAAAACTGCTAACATTACATGATCATTGGATGTTAGTAGTTTAAGTATGAGTGATTGATGATTGTAGGGAAACCGAGATTGGAGTTAAACTAAAAGTCAACATTAAGTGGAGTAAAGATGAAACCAAAAGCCTGAGGTTTACCTCAAATAGTTCTCAGAAATTTGAGTTATCCTCTTCTTTTCTTAATTACTATTTAGTTTGAATCTTTCTCGATTATGTTTTATTTTATTATGCACTATTTAAGTTCATACAATTAAATCACAATAGTTTGATGATTGAAAATAATCTCTATGTGATAATATTCTGGGAACTCAATTTAAAAACTTTTTTTACTTCTTTTTGACAGGTACACTTGCCTACGAATAAGTTTTTTGTGTTGTTGTTAGGGATTGTTTTCGTAATATTGAGAATATTCACCATTGAATTGATTTGAACATTTTTATTTATTTATTTAGTTAATTCTATTTTTAAATATTTGTTTTGTTTTATATCATTTTCTTTTGGGAATTTCCTTTGTTATATTCTCACTCGTTCTAAGTGTCTTATAGCTTACATATTTTAATCCAAATATTGTAAAGATTGTACATATACAAAGAAAAGAGTTGAAAGAGTAAAGAATGATACAAAGAAGAACTTAGCAAGAATATTCTTACACTCACTGCTGAGGTGTAGCTAGAAGTATTGTGGCCCCTAATATGAAGGCCAATAACTTCTAATTGAAGTTGGCTCTTATTAGTGTAATTCAGAAATCTATGCAGTTTGGAAGTTCATTCAATGAAGACCCCAACCTCCATCTAAAGAAGTTCGTTTGGCTCACAAACACTATAAAATGTAATGAGGAATGAGGTCACTACTAATGCCATTAGACTTTGCCTTTTATCATTCTCTGTCATAGAAAAGGTGAATGCATAGTTTTCAACACTACCAACTAATTCCATCATGACATGGGATGATTTGACTAACCAATTTTTGAGGAAATACTTTTTCCCATCTTCTTGTGCTAATTTCATCGCAGAAATATCCAACTACAAACAATATGCCTCTAAATCTCTATATGAGGCCTGGGAGCAGTTTAGAGAACTCTTAAGGAGAGGGGAAGGGAAGAAAATATGAGGTATTCTTTATTTGGTAAAAAAACTATCCTTCTAAGTGGGAAGAAATAGGAAGGAAGAGTCTTTATTTTTTAAATAAATTTTAATACTTGATAATATATTATGTATAAAAATATTATTATAGTAAAAAGTGAAGCTTTAGAAAAGAAATGGTTTGTATAACATATATTCTGGCTATATAAGACATGTATGAGGGGGTAATTACATGTGTGAGAACTTTTGTAGGCGTATCTAAGGACTTCCTAATAATAGGTTACATCAAGGCTCCACTTTGAGCCCTTATTTAATCTAGTTCTAGATGTGCATACAAATGACATATAAAATATTATCTTTCCCTGCATGTTATTTGCAAATGATATAGTGTTAGGCAAGAATTCGAAAGAAAAGGCTAATGAAGTTGTGGAGGGGGACTTTAGAATCTAAGGATTTTCACTTGAGTAGAAGTAAGAAAGAGTGTATGCATTGTAGCTTTAGCAAAAAATAAGATAAGGATCATGCATGGAAAGTTAAATTTAGAGATAATTTTATACCGTAAATTTTTAGTTGCAGGTACTTAGGATAAATCATGCAAAATGATAGAGAAATTAATAAAGATGTTACTTACAAAATACAAGCTAGGTGGTTAAAGTGAAGAAAGACATCAAGAGTTATTTGTGATCGTAAAGTACCTATTAAACTAAAACAAAAGTTTTACCATATTACAATACAACTAACTATCCTGTATGGTAGTCAACGTTAGGGCTTAAAGGAACAACACAAAAAAAATAGTGAAAGTGACATATATGAAAATGTTAAGGTAGATAAGTGAACATATGAAAAAGGACATAATAAAAAATGATAGTATACGAATAAATATTGAAGTAGTATCTATAATTTAAAAGATGACTGAAAATCATCTAAGCTAGTTTTGGTCATTTGCAAAGAAGACCTTTGGAGGCGTCAATAAGGAGAGTGGATCACATGACTTTTGGTATGGTAAAAAGGGATTGTGGGAGATTCAAAAGAATCTTAGACAAAGTTATCAAAAGAAATCTTTTGATTAACTAAATTTTTAAAAATTTGTTTTTGATTGAGCTTAATGGCGTCGTGTGATTCATGTAGCCGACTTCACTTAATAAGATAAAACTTAGTTGTTATTGTTGTTATATTATTATAGTAAAAAAAATTTATTGAATTATTATTATCATTTTTAAAAAATATCTTTTACAATGTAAACCTTTTTCACTCTTTTCTACTCATCTATATAAATGGAGTATTTTTTTTCACTCTTTCTTTTATTTGTATCCATTCAAACACATCTTTTCTACATTATTTTTACTTTAACTTTTTTTATTTTTCTTTTTTTTTTTCTTCATTCTCATCCAAGGTCAAATTAATTACTTTCAATTTAAAGATACATGCATAGTTTAGATAAATTTTCAAATAAACACTTTGTTAAGATGTACCACATTGAGTAATAATAGTTCCAAATACTCTTTTTAAAATTTGAGTAATCCTCATCTTTTGATCTAATTTCTAAAAGGGAATCAAGATTAGTTTTCGAATACACTTATTGAAGGAAAAAAAAAGTGAGATATAATAAATAAAGCTTGTCGTTTAAATTAAAATTAAATTATATGCTTTGATTTAAAAAGAAATAAAGGAAGAAAAAAAAGTTTGGAAAAGGGTAAAACCTAAGTCAATATTTTATTAAGCCCAATTTGAATGTACTTGTGAATGAATTCTTCTAAAAAAAATTAATAAAATTTTTCTCATATGTTCTCGTTTTAGAGAAATTAAATAATTTTTTGAATAATATATAAAATCATAAGTTGCTTTTCACTCAATTAAATTCATTTTACTAAAATTTTTACTTATACTTATCCAAAAAAAAATTATTCAAAGTAACCCTTACTTATTTATATTTTGTAAGTACTTGTTAAAAAAGTTAATCCAAAAACAATCATACTAAATGGCTTTCCAGTTCCATAATGGCTTTAGGAATGATCCAAAACAAAAGAACTGGTGGCACTTGCATTCACCGTTGATTAGTTGTCATCTTGCGTAAAAGCACTTCAGAGCTTCAAGTGGCAATGAAGCCGCGTACGTCAGAAGCCAAGTTTAAAGAGACAACTTAGGTTCAAAAGTTAGAGTTGAACAAAAAAACAAGTTCAAAAGTGAGACATAACAGTAAACGTTACTATCCAATTGCTTTCTATTTTCTATTTTTATTTTTTTTTATCAATGATTTTAAAATCAGACCAGTCATTGAATCGTAAAGACACTGGTTCAAGGTTTAATTATTGAACCATAATTAAAACGTGATTAAACCGGTATTAATTAAATATTATTTTCAATTTTATATATAACATTTATCGTCAACATTTGCACCGCTCTACCCATGGTACCACTACTAAATTAAAGATTATTTCAATTTCTAACAAATTAGAAACAAATTAAACAAAATACCAACTTTAATTTTAATTGATCGAAAAATGAGTGAGTAGCAGTGGATCAGCAACATATCACGTGCAAGTTCTGAAATGTAAGGCTTAAAAGGGATGGATCTGAGCAAATAAAATGAATGGTGTTGTAAGACATCTTATGTTGGAGCTTTAGTGGGAAGTGGTTCTTCAGGGAATGACTCGAGCATGCTGGTAATAAGACAAGCAAGAACAGCAAGCAATGAGCTGTGACACTAGTAGTTTAGGAGAAAATTTGCAGATAAGAATGGTGCTTCAGCTGAAGAGTCGTGTGACTATGGAGTCTATGATATCGACATAAAGAATGAACGTTAAGAGAAACCCATAAAACTGATGGTTCAGAACTTGGGACGTCATTTTTTCGACTTTCAATAAAAATTCGCACAAAAGAATGTTGTTTTTGAGCTTCTAGTATTTACCCGTTTCAAACCGAGGAACTACTGGTTTTACCGATTTTTGGTTTATGACTGATTTATAATTCGTCCAGTTTTTGGTTTGAATGAACCGGATACCTGACCGGTTCTCGATTGAACCGGCCATCCGGTCTGATTTTTACAGCCTTGGATGTAATAATTTATTATTTCTTCTGGCTACTACCATCATTCGATCATCTTTTACACAATGTTAATTCCAGGTGACTTTCAAAATCCTAATTCCGTTATGAAAGTGTATTTAATACACTTCGAAATTAAAATTTTAAAAGACGCAAAGAGGGAAAGGACGATATAATTAGAAAAAGAGGGCACCAAAAAAGAAATTCCATTCGATCACTTTTCCCAACTCATCAAAGCAGGAGTCAACGACTTTGAACGGAATCATATACTCAGATTTGTTACAATTCCAAAATGCTTCAATTCCTAATGTATATGTCATTGAGTCACAGGTTGTTTTGTAGTAAAACGTCATTATTGCCATTGAGCTTTATAACTTGAGAAAAGAAAGGAAAAAAAAATCATTTTAATGTTTAAGTTATGTAGCCTCGATGTATTTTTCTCATAATAAATCCCTAACTACTCTGGGTATGATGCATCCCCCTATTGCAATCTTCATGAACCAAACCAATCTCAAAAGAATAATAGTAATAATAATAGTAGGGTATTGTGTTATTCCTGATTAGAAAACTGGAAAGATCACCGCATATGATGGTCCTGATCAGAAAACTCGGATGCACATCCAATTAGAGAATGTTTAAACAAAGTTTCTCAAACCGATATGCCATAGTTGCTAATTTTAGAGATCTCCTTGGTCAAGGTATTCTTTTCTTTCTTTGCCTCAGAAGTAAGTTCAGAAACCTGTCAAGCAGACAGAAAATGTTTGCATTGCAAAATTATTATTAAATCTGTAAAAGCAAAATCTGTTAGTATTGGCATCTTTTCTCAATTCCTTGATGGCTGTTAAAAGTGGCAAGGCTCTAGAATGAAATTTCTGACATTTATTAGAAGTGTAAAAAGTCATCAACATTATAGGAAGATAGCAGTTCCGTTTTTTAACCAGTTATTACTTCAAATTATCATTGTAAACTCAACTGGTAGGTTCGACCAGTAATCCAGTCACTACTCACTTGTCAAGTATTTCAATTGGACCAAACCGGTAGCACACAGCTAGGATAAATACAACCGTGAGACAATGCCATGTTTATCGTACAAAATGTTGTCCAGAAATGTAATATATCTATTATGAAGCAGTGATAAACTAACAGACCAAATAATTTCCATGAACTTTCTGATTTAAAGTTATGCAGATCATTATCCTATCATACACTACAAGAAAGTGCTTCATATTCAGCATGCTTGTGTAGGATTGTTTTTGTAAGATTTTTTTCTCGAGGGGAGGAGAGGGGGAAGCATTTTTAAGGAGAAAACATTTTGTAATAGTATTTTTATTAAAAACAGTTATTTCATCATGAATAAAATTTTGAAGTTTATAGTTAAAAAATATATTATTTTTTAGCCAACTTTCATTTTGCCTAACAATTGGTTATTTCAAATACAACAGCAATTACTACAAAATACAAATAACGGGAGAGGTACCAGAAAATCAACAAGAAAAGTGTTTCTTATTATTGATTTATAGGTCCGATCAATGCCCTTAAGCTACTGTTTAAGGAATAAAAAGAGAAAAGTTTTATTAAGATGCTATTAATGCACACCCACCTTTGTTCACAATAAATTTAGCAAGACCCAATCTACATAAATCAAGGATTTTGGGATTAGATTATTTATTTATAGCAAGTTTTCCAATCTAAAAATGTGCTTAATCAATTCTAATAAATAATAAAACAACATAAAGAAAGTTCGGCCAATCACAATAGTTATGTCATGACTTATGCCCAATCCACTAGTTATCCTAATGCCCAGGCTTGGTCTAGTCAACATGTATTGAATTATTATTTATTATAGCTACCCATTATTCCATGTTATGAATGTTAAAGAAAAAGACTACACTTTTCACATTGCCATTTCATGAGTCAACTCTTGATAACTTTCATCTAAACCTAAACAATGAGAGATGGGATCCTGTCAACAGAATAATTACCTGTAACCGGAAGTGAGATGCTTCTCTTTTAGGGAGTTCTCTGAGGATATCTTTTAAACCTAGTATACCAAAACAAGCCACGTCATCAAAAGCACAAGGTCCCATCACCAGCTTATTTCATTGGCTGGCAGTATCTTTTCGTTATAAAAGAAATTATAATAATTTGCAAACCTCCTGCTCGTCTTTCTATTTTATACGCTGAATGAATCACATTCCTGATCTGCTTTCCTGCTTGTCTGTTATAAATTATATACATTAATAAAAACTGATATCAGTGCACATGTACAAAATCAATGTTACTGTTCCACATCCGAAAGTTACAAACCTGAGTTTTGTCCTTCCATGCAAGAATTGCTCTTCCGCATGTAATGCACTCCTCTGTAATCAGTACGTAGAACAAATTACTATGAATACTAGAATAGCAATAGCAATCGAAATGCAGGGGTTATCTCAAATTGTGTAATAATCCAATAAAATTAAATTGACTAGTGTAAACCAAGCTTCCTATATCATTTTTATAAAGTTATAAAAAGACCATTCAACTCAGCCAAAATACCAATGGGTCCCTAGTGACTCCCTAATCAAATTATATGAAACTATAAATAATCCAAAATTTATTGAATTCAATTTTTAATTAAAATTTACAATTCATAATCACAAAAGTAACTTTATATGAAATTACATATTTATTGAAAATAAAAAGTAAAAAAAAAATTACCTAGCTTATATCAAGACAATTCATAAGTCACATGACATTGTATTGAACACACATGCCTTGTCGCCTATTTTCAATTATCAATCACAGATTGCAGATTGAAGTGGCCGAGTGATATACTTGCAGTTTATATGCTTGATTCAGAAAATTTATAATAAATTTAGGTTTGGAAAATATTTTACACATTAAGGTTTCAATCTTTCTTTAGGATTAAGAAACGGATGAAACAGCAAAGATAAACCAATTTTGAAAGAGACATGGCTATGTGTGCCAGCCGATGCCACAAACATGGCCATGTCTAAATGAAAAATGGCTTATGACTTGAAGACATTAAGTGATTTTGAATAGATTTGACAAAAGTACCAAAAATATTAAGATATTTTAACAAAGATTAAAAAAAGAAATATACTTGCTAGAAAGTATCAACCAAATTTTGAGATAATATTATCCAAACCTTAGCTAAATCTATAATTCACAGAAAACCAACCAATCCTTATCCATATTAGAAAATGAAGTAAACGAAAGACAAGCAGATCAACAATAAACAACTAAGTCTTATTCCACTAGATGAGGTTTAGGGACACAATTGTAGAAAAGAAATTTAATGGAAGTGACGAGAAGAGACTTTAGAAGAATGAGTCCATCCAATTTCAAAAGGAGGATTTACGTTTCTACCTCTTAATTCAATTTCCATGGATTTTAGTTTAGGATTTTGCTTTCATTTTCGTACAGATATATAACTCCCATAGCTAGAGCCATAATGGATTTTATGCAGTGATTATTGATGTTAGAAATTGTTGAAATAGAGAAAGAACATAAGACATTGGATGAATTCTGTGTGTTCCACTACGCAATGGAGCATATATTTATATTAATAATCATAAATACAAGAGTAATTATAGAATATTAAGCTACCTAATTACTATAATTACAAAGATAAATTTTTCTATTGCAATATTATACATATATTTACACTTACTGTCTTACTCTCAAGTCAAAACATGTATAGTATAAGCACTAAGCTTGACAAATATATAACTAATATGTGTACCTCTGAAGGGTTTGGTAAAGATATCTGATCCTTATTAAGAGTTTAGTATGTGGATCTGATCCAATATTGTGGGAGGAGTGTGATTAGACTTACAAGCTTAAGTGACCGTCTTAGGCCATTTAGACTTGAGGTCCTCTTATATATATAAAATTTGTTGTTGAACTACCAATGTGGGACTTTATTGTCTTAACCATCTCCCTCAAGTTCAACTAACTTTGGTCTAGTTGAGACTTGTATTTTTTTAAGTCTAGGCTTGTGTTCCAACTTCTACTTCAGGTCTTGCTTTTTTTAATTGCTTGGGCTGTTGCTCCTTTTTCTTGATTTTAATGCTACAAGTCTAATTATTTTTTCTATGACCTTTAATTTTATTTTTAGTCTAATCTTTGATACCATATTAAGATTTTAGTATGTGGATCTGATCCAATATTGGAAAGGGAGAGTTTGGACTTGAGTAACCTAGATTTCTAATATGGTGTACGACCTTGTCCAGTTCGCATGTTAAACTGCCCATAAATGTCCATTCCTGAATGTGAAAGAGGTGTGTTAAGACTTGCAGAACATTCAACCTGTCTACATCTCAATGGGAAAAACTACCTAAAATTGTCTCATTTTGTCCAAAACTTTCTAAAGGGGAAGGGAAAATTGAGTCATCTTACTGAAACAGCCCCAGAATCATCAGATCCCAAAGTTGCAGCATGAGATGAGGCAAACGCATTTGTAATGTCTTGGTTATGGAACTCTGACATTTGGAGTGAGCGATGTCTGCATGTTAATGAAGACAGCCAAGGAGGTATGGGACAGTTGTAAAGCAAACTATTCCAAGGTGGGTGACACTGCCCAAATCTATGAGATTAAAATGAGGACTTCTGCTACCAAATAGGGGGATCATTCGGTCAGCGTGTAAGCCCAAATCCAACAAAATTTGTGTCAAGAGTTAGACCATTATGTGCAATTTAAAGCAAAATGCACTGAAGTTGTTGATCTTCTCAAAAGTTACAAGGAGAAGGACAAAATCTATAAGTTCCTTGCTAGATTAAACAGTAAATTTGATCCGGTTAGAATTCAAGTGCTTGGAAAGGACCCATCCTCACTCTATGAAACGATGGCTGTCTTTTGGGCAAAAGAAGCTTGTAGAGAAGTGATGCTGGAATCTCAAGCAAATGAAAGTTTTGCCTTGGTTGCACAGACCAAGGGAAATAATTCAGAAAATAAATCAATAAGTAAGTGGAGCAGGAGAGACAACAATACCTAAAGGGGAAAATAAGGATTCCCTATGGTGTACCTACCACAAGAAGCTCTGGCACACTCAAGACAAATGCTGGAGACCTCATGGTAAGCCTCCAAATCCAACCCGAAACTGGATAACTAAAGGAAATCAAGGAGAGCAGCCTCATGTTCATATGGCAAATCTAGGGTCTGTAGAGGGCACCTCTTCCAAACCCTCCACAGAGTTTGACTCAGAGGAGATTAGAATAAAGGAGTTATTGGGAACATTAACAAAACCTACAGACCCAGGTAACTGCTCCTTGGTATTCTCAGGAAATATCTCTAAGCCCTATGCACTTAGTATCTTAGATTCCTGAAAAGGTGTATGGGTTATCGATTCTGGAGCTACAGACTAGATGAATCAGTCCTCTAGTGTTTTATCTCCTATAGACCCTGTCCAAGCAATAAAAAAATTGCAACCAAAGATGGAACTTTCATTACAGTTACTGTAGAAGGAAATATTATCATAAACCAGAATCTGATTTTGAAAGATGTTTTGCATGTGCCAAAATTATCAGCAAATTTGATTTCCATTCACAAGCTTACAAAAGATTTACATCCCTTGGTGACTTTTTCTCCCACAATTTGCAAATTTCAGGATCAGGGAATGGGGAAGATGATTGGGCTTGCTAGGGAGGACAATGGACTCTACCTTCTTGAGGAAGCTAACAGGATGGGTAGCACTAGGAATCAAATTCCTTTGTCTTTGTTGTCAAAATCTTCTCTCAAATAAAGAAAATATTTGGCTATATCAACTTCGTTTAGGTCACCCTTCATTTTCTACCCTAAAAGTCATGTTCCCTAGTTTATTTCCACAACTGTGTTGGAGTATTTCATTGTGATACTTGTGAATGACTGAATGCAAATCACAAATGTGTCAACTTTTCCATTAATAATAATAAACGAATGTCAGTTCCTTTTTCCTTAATACACAGTGATGTTTGGGGACCTAATATTCCAAATATAACTAGGGCTCATTAGTTTGTCATATTCATTCATGATTGTAATCAGATATCATGGGTGTTTCTTTTAAAACAGAAAAGTGAGGTGAGCCAAGTCATTAACACTTCTTCCAAATGATAGAAAAACAAATTTGAGATAACACTGTCTTCTATCTTCAATGAACAAGGAATCATTCATGAATCCTCTTGTGTCAACACCCAACAACAAAATGGGGTGGCAGAACAGAAAATTGGGCATCTTGTTACTATTACTCAAGCCTTGCTTCTCCAAAAGAATGTTCCAAAACAATATTGGGGGAAGCTATCCTTACTGCTACTTATTTGATCAATCGGTTACACCTCAAAAACATTAAACAATAATAATCCAATTCAACTATTCTCCAAATCTTTTGCAGACTTCACAACAACAAATAATCCAATAATCATAGAAGCTTCCTTACTTATTTAAACACTGTCACTATTCCAAAAACTGTTTATGAAGCATTAAACAGTAAGAACTGGAGTGATTCTATGAAGGTTGAAATGGATGCACTAGAAGAAAAAAAAATCTTATTGAATGTAATTGGGGTTTACTGTTAAATACAAGGCAAATGGGACATTAGAAAGATATAAGGAAAAGTTGGTGGATAAGGATATACTCAAACATATGGGGTAGATTATCTTGAAACTTTTTCACCTTTTGCAAAAATGAATATTGTTAGAATTTAGTTGTCTCTAGCTGCTAACCATGGATAGAGTTAGCAGCAATTCGATGTCAAGAATGCTTTTCTGCATGGAAAACTTGAAGAAGAGATATACATGGAAGTCCCACTTGATTTTAAAGCTGAGGAAGGAAAAGTGTGTAAGCTGAAGAAGGCACTTTATGGGCTGAAACAGTTCCCAAGGGCCAGATTTGGTAGGTTTACTACTGTGAAGAAGGCAATGGGGTACAAGCAAAGCCAAGGTGGATCATACATTGTTCATTAAATATTCAGCTTCAGGGGGAGTTACTGCATTGAAGAAATGCTTGTTAAAAGAATTTGAGCTTAAGGAGTTAGGCAGATTGAAGTATTTTCTAGGCATTAAGGTGGTTCATTCTTATCATGGTATTTTCATCTCTCAACCTTACATGCTGGATTTATTGGCTGAAACTGGAAAATTGGGGTGCAAACCAGTAGAGACACCTATTAAGCAGAATGACAAATTAAGTGAATCAATTGAAGATGCAACAGTGGATATACAATCTTATCAAAGACTGGTTGGAAATTGATCTATTTGTCCCCCATCAGACTTGACATTGCATACGCAATAGGGGTGGTAAGTCAGTTCATGAACAATCCTAAAGAAACTCATCTTAGAGCAGTGTATCACATTCTGCAGTACTTAAAAGGGACTCCTAGAAAAA